GCTAGCCTGCTTTTACAACTTAACTCAACCCATAACTATTAATCTATGTATCGCCACATGTTCCGTGGCTTTACCTACGTCCCATTACGTGTTGCTCCTTGGGGCGGTGGTTTGGCGTCTCCCCTTACTCTCCTTTCTCCTTCACCATCTCTTCTGGATTTTCCCACCTGGCTCCAACCTGCCCTGCCATAGGCCAATGCAGCTCTATTTATTGCCAATGGGAGTAACACATATCCACAGCATACAGAAAGACATCCCACAACATCTCCACGTCATTTTTTGTAAGCTGGTGGTCCAAAGAAAAATTCATCAGCATAAGGGCTTGCTGGTGTTGCAGGACCACCGAGGCCAGGGAAGTGAGCTGGTTTGGGAGCAGTTGCAGGGTTGTGGTTAGTTCATGGATGGTGTCTGTCAGCTGAGTGGAAGTCTCCTGGGACAGATATAGACTAGGGGCAGAAAATAAAGTTAAGGAGCTTACGGGGCCTTTATCTTGGGAGTATGCTTGAAATTTCTGCCCTGAAATCCTCGTTGTAGAGGAAGCAATCAAACGTGTCTAGAAAAAGCATGAACACAGAATCATGTCATTGAGCCATAGCTAAATAAAGCCGGAAAAGTTATAAACATGATAGAAACATGAATGGTCATCTGTGATAAGACAAACATTTCCTGGCAGGAAAGAGAACAAAGGGGAAGAAGAACTGGAGGACCTGAAAGATGGTTCTGGGACAGAAGGATGAACATCCTTCAGCCAGGACATAGAACTGTTACCAAAGGCTTTAGAAGCCAGTTCACGATGTCAGGGCTGCTGAATTGTCCAGCGACTGTAGGGCCTGTCTTTGGGATTTGGAGTAAGTAGGAGTTAAGAGAAGTCAGGAGGAGAAGAGAGGAAGGTCCTTTAGTGGTTCTGTCAGTGAAAGTGTTTCCCAAGGCTATAGTTTGTGGAGGCATGCTGGTAAAGGGAAAAAGCTAGGACACTATGGCATGGCCTGCTTGGCAGAAGCCAGTGGAGTTGAGAAATGAGCTTCCATCTATGAGCCAAGAACAGACAGGACATGGCCGAGGGGAAATAGAATGTTGTGGGGTTTTGTGGGTAAAGTGTTTCAAGTGATTCTAGACAGGAGTGGGTGAGCGTGGTAGCCTTGGGAAAGAGTGTAGCGGGGTCGAGAGGCGGTCAGGAATCCAGTGAGATATTGGGATTTTCTAGGAGGGTGATGTGAATGAAAACGTTGAAGCTTAGAAGGGGGCAAAGTCTTAGGGGCTCTTGTGCCACAGGAACTCCTTGAGCCAGGGCGGTGGGAGGATGAAGAGAGGCTGACCAAAGGTGAGCTTAGAGGCCTCCCGGGCCAGCAGGGAGGCTGCTGCTGGCAAGTGTAGGCAAGGTTGCCATTGTAGTGGGTAGCCATTCCAACTTTGGTCTGGAAGTTCCTGGCCTTAATAATTTCACCAATATGCCATCCCCTAGCTGTTGGACCTAGCTGTTTGGAAAAACAGGCGACAGGGACAATGGTAGGTCCTCTCATCTGCTCCAAATCCCCAGAGCCAGTCCCCACTTTTCAGCAGTAACAGGATAATGCATGCATTGGTCAGTGTCTGGGGGAGTCAGCACAGGGCCTGTACGAGTGCTTCTCAGAGGTGAGAGAAAGCAGGCATGGCAGGCGTGGTGTGAGAGGCTCAGCTGGGGCGGTGGTGCACACCTTTAATTCCAGAACTCAGGAGACAGAGGCAAGAGGAGCTTGGTGAGTTCAAGACCAGCCTGGTCCACAGATCGAGTTCCAGGGCAGCCAGGGCAACACAGAGAAACCTCTCCTGAAAAACAAAACAAAATATGATAAAAGACCCAGAGGCTCAATTGGGGAGCCCTTCATAGAGGTGGCAAGCAAAGTAGGGAACCCAGGTTCTGATGTACCCTGCCAGGCCAAGGAAGGAGAGAATTTCATTCTTGGTGGATGGAGGTGTGAGGGACTGCAGTTTGGCAGATTCTCTATGACTGAGAGTGAGTTCATGGCTGTTAGAGGACAAGAGAAAGTCTAGATACTTGACCTAAAGGACAGAAAGCTGAGGTTTGGAATGGGAGACTCTGGATCCTTTGTTTCCTAAAAAGTTAAGAAGTTGAGAATAAGTGTCCAGGAGACAGGTCAAGAGAAAGGAAGTCAGTGACCGGCCTGGCTGAAGAAATGGGGGAGGGGGAGCTATCTTGGAACCCCTGGGGAAGGGCAGTCCAAATAAACTGAGATGCTGTTCCAGTGATAGGGTCCTCCAGTTGAAGGCAAAGGGGTCATGTGAATCTGAGTGTAAAGGAATTGTAAAGAAAGCATCCTTGGGCTGGAGAGATGGCTCAGTGGTTAAGGGCACTAATTGCTCTTCCAGAGGACCTGGGTTCAATTCCCAGCACCCACATGGCAGCTCACAACTGTCTGTAACTCCAGTTCCAGAATACTTGACACCCTCACACAGACATACATGCAGGCAAAATGCTAATGCACACAAATAAAAATAACAAGAATTTAAAAAGAATACTATTTAAAAATAAAGAAAGAAAGCATCCTTAAGTTGGAAACGGTAAAAATGAGGGGTAGAGGAGGGAATCTGAGAGACTGTAAGGGTTAAGCATCACTGGGTGTATAGGAAGGACTGCTGTGTTAATAATCCTGAAGTCCTGGACAAGGCAGTATGAGCTATTAGCATTTAGGACAGATAACATAGGGTGTTAAAGGACGAGGGAGTAGGCTTGAGAATATCGTTATTAAGAAGGCATTGTAGTAGCTGGGCAGTGGTGGTGGACGCCGTTAATCCAAGAAACCCTGTCTTGAAGAAACAAGCAAACAAGAAGAAGGCATTGTAGGCTTGGCAGTGGTGACACGTGCCTTTAGTTCCCTGCACTTGGGAGGCAGAGGCAGGCAGATCTCTGAGTTTGAGGCCAGCCTGGTCTGTGAAGCGAGTTCCAGGACAAGCCAGGGCTATACAGAGAATCCCTATCTCTAACAATAATAATAATAATAATAATAATAATGATAAGGCATTGTATGATACATTTTAAGCCTTGTCTGTTATGGGTGTGGCTGGAGTGTTGGTTCTGTGGTTAAGAGCAATTCGGCTCTTACAAAGGACCCAGGTTTGATTCCCAGCACTCACGTGATGCCTCAAAATAGTTTGTAACTCCAGTTCCAGGAGATCCAAAGCCCTCTCCAGCTTCCACAGTCACCAGTCATGCACATGGATTCCAGAAGAAATCAGGAAACAAAAGTTGGTAAAGGAAAAAAATGGATGCATTTACATTTTGGTCAAACCTATGAGAGAAAGAAGTTGCCGGGTGGTGGTGGCACACGCCTTTAATCCTAGCACTCGGGAGGCAGAGCCAGGTGTATCTCTGTGAGTTGGAGGCCAAGCCTGGTCTACAGAGTGAGTTCCAGGAAAGGTGCAAACCTACACAGAGAAACCCTGTCTCGAAAAACAAAAAAAAAAAAAAAAAAAAAAAAAAGTCTAATTTCTTCATGTTTGTGCATACAACATTGCCTCGACTGCTGACATACAAATGCAATGCTGTCCTTTCTGGACAAGCGGGACACAAGGAAAGCGACCACTGTACTCTGCCAAGACAGGGTAAGATGGTCTTTCAAAATTCCTGCTTCTGAAAATGGTCTGTCAGATACTCTAGGCCTGTAGCCAATTTGAATGCACCAATAATGCTGAGAAACATTAGGTGACTGTCCAGGCTGCCAGCTGTCTCTGTCTACTCTTGCAAGATTCCCGAAAGTTGCTTACATCCATCTTCCATTTCTCAGGTACCATTATATTCCTTCTCAGGTCTTTGATGGGATTGAAGACTAGCAGTTAGAGTTATAACTTAGTATATAAATAATATCTTAGATAAAACACATTAAGTATTAGATTCAGGTTCTTTAGGATAGGACACCTTTTGGAATGATCTTTGTAACACGCCATTTACCTACGCTCTATATTTCTCTGGACTTTAGTATGTGTTTCTTGCTTGATATTGTTCGCATTGGTTGTAGTTCCATCTTATCTAGGTCATTATCCCTCATTATTCCTGGACTATATTTGATAACCATTCCTTTGTATTAAACCCCCACTTATTTTATCTTTTTTTTTTTTTTTTTTTTGGTTTTTCGAGACAGGGTTTCTCTGTGTAGCTTTGCGCCTTTCCTGGAACTCGCTTTGGAGACCAGGCTGGCCTCGAACTCACAGAGATCCGCCTGGCTCTGCCTCCCAAGTGCTGGGATTAAAGGCGTGCGCCACCACTGCCCGGCATATTTTATCTTTTTAATTTAACATTTTAAAACATCCTGTGTACATGGATGTCTGTGTGTGAGTATGTGCATGCGCATGCAGGCCCTGAGGCCAGAAAGGGCATCAGATTACTTGGAGCTGAAGTTACAGGTGGTCGTTAGCCGCCTGATGTGGATGGAATCTGAACTGAGGCCCTATGCAAGAGCAGTCCATGCTCTTAACCACCGAACCACCTCTCCAGGTCTATGTAGGACTTTGCTTTTTTTTGGTTGTTTTGTTTTTGTTTTTTCGAGACTGGGTTTCTCTGTGTAGTTTTGGTGCCTGTCCTGGATCTCACTCTGTAGATCAGGCTGGTCTCGAACTCAGAGACATCTGCCTGCCTCTGCCTCGAGCATTGGGATTAAAGGCGTGCGCCACCACCCAGCACAAGCGCTGATTCTTACCTTTTGGGCATCTTGGTACTTGTAGTTTTGTCCACTAGCTCATTCCTTGAAAGAGAGAGCTGAGACCACAACTCCCATCACCCCATCAACGCTGGAGCCTTCAGAGCGCATCCTCCAGAGGTGGGTGCCGGGACCATTGACGAACCTGCTGGCTGAAGGGCCCGCCTTCTTCAGCCCAAGGTCTCCCACCATTGGCCGGCTCCCTCGCCCCTCTCCGGAGGGCGCAGGTGAATGAAAAGGGGGGCGTGTCGCTACGCGCAGATCGCTGGCGGCGGCTGGAACCCGTGCCAGGTGAGAACCCAGCATCCGGTGCCGAAGCGGCTTTCGTTGGTTTTGGGGAAAAGTTGGTTGAGGGCACCTCGGGAGGCTGGCTCAGGGGACCGGGTGTGGGTGGCAAGCACGCTTGCCTTTCGCAGCCAGCTTTGGACCTCCCGGCCCAGCAACTGCCTGGACCCCGGCTGCGCGGAGGGGCAGACCCTCCCTCTTCTTGCTTGGGGAGGGCGGACACGCGGCACGTGCCCCCTCCCTGGCTGTGGGTGGCCCTCCCCGTGTGGTCCATGTGGGAGTTCTAGCTTCTGCTCGTTCTGATCCTGAACGATACCTGAGTGCCAGGGCTTGGCCAGGCTTGGCCAGTGGCCGCCTCGGCGATGGTCACTTTGCCAGTGGGAAGACACGGGAGAGGCAAGGCCTCGGTTTCCACAGCCAGACACCAGGGACTGTGCCCAGTACCTGGTTCCAGTGGCCTCCTCAGGTCGTCTGACTCAGGATGGATTGTTGCCTCTGTCTTGAGAGCAGTTGAGCAGGAGAACCGAAGATGCAGTTGGTCAGAAATTCTACCCCTGCAAAGGGAAGCTCTGCTGCTGTCTCCCTCCTTCGCGTAGGTCGGAGGAGGGAGTGGCTTCCTGATTAGCGCCAGGTTTGTTACCGGGTTTGGGGAGATCTATAAACAGTGGTTAACGATCTCCTGTCTGGAATCAGTTGAATATGGATTCGAAATCCTGGGCGTGTAATCTGTATCTTTGAACCTCAGTTTCCACCTCTGAAAACTGAAAATACTCTGCACTGTGGTAGTGTAAGGCTAACATGCTGGTCAAGGAGTTTGCTTAGCGCTCTTGGTGGGCGGGGGTTGCTTTTCCAGGCAGGTTTCTCTGTGTAGTCTTGACTGCCCTGGAACTCTCTCTGTAGATCAGGCTGGCCTCGAGCTCACAAAGATCCACCTGCCTCTGCCTCCCAGTGCTTAGATTAAATAGCGCTTCTTTTTCTTTCTTTTTTTTTTTTTTTTTTTTTTTTTTTTGATTTTTCGAGACAGGGTTTCTCTGTGTAGCTTTACGCCTTTCCTGGATCTCTCTCTGTGTAAATAGCGCTTCTTAATGAATGATGCACAGGAAATTCTAGCAATTTTTATTCTCAAGTTGGTGGGACTGCAGGAGAGTTGTTGGAAAGAGGGTGCTGGCCAGGCAGTGGTGGTGCACACCTGTAATCCTAGGACCGGGGAGGCAGAGGCGGAGGATGGAAGCAAGTTCAAGGCTAGCCTGGTCTACATAGCCAGAGTCTATCTTTAAAAAAAAGCAAAATGAATGGGAGTAAAAGGGGGACAAGCGAAAGTCAGGCTGCCTTTTTTTTTTTTTTTTTTTTTTTTTTTTTTATGTATGTGTGTGGGTCTGGGCCTTGGAATGCTGCTGCCCACGGAGGCCAGAGATGTGGATAACCCTGGAGCACAGTCACCAGCAGTTGGGAGCCACCTGGTTCGAGCAATGGGAATTTAACTCAGGTCCTTTGGAAAACAGTTTTCTTTAACTGTTAAGCCAGCTTGCCAGCCCCCGCTTTTGACTCTTGATTGAAAGTCCTGTAGCCTGGCTAGATTTCCCTCAAGGGTCCAGGAGAGGCTTACACCACGAGATCAGTTTACCCAGTGCTGGATATCAAACCCAGGACCTTGTGCAAGGAAGACAAATACCGGCCATCTGAGCTTCATTTCCAGCCCCCGTACTTAGTAATTGGCTTTAATTAATTAATTTATTTATTTAATTTTTTTCTTTTTCTTTTCTTTTTTTTCCCCAGAGCTGAGGACCGAACCCAGGGCCTTGCGCTTGCTAGGCAAGCACTCTACCACTGAGCTAAATCCCCAACCCCAATTTTTGCTTTTTCGAGACAGGGTTTCTCATGTAGCCCTGACTGTCCTGGAACTCATTCTGTAGATCAGGCTGGTCTTGAACTCAGAGCTCCATTTGCCTCTGCTTTCCCGAGTGTTGGGATTAAAGGTGTGTGCCACTATTGCCTGGCTAATTTTTTTAAAATTAGGTTTATTTGTTTTATGTGTGTGTACAGATTCATGTGGGGGTCCAAGTACAGCTTTTAGGAGGTGGTTCTCTCCTTCCTCCATGAGCTCTGAGCATCAAACTCAGGCCATCAGGCGTGGTAGCAAGTGCTTTTCTCTGCTTAACTGTCTCACTGGCCCAATAGTTAGTGACTGTTGCATTGAATTGGAACATGGGTAGACCGAGTGCCATGAGTGCGTGGGTAACTGTGTGTGAGAGCAGCGTTTAGCGGCTTCTCAGTGAGAAATAGTGGCTTTCGGCACAGCCCGGGGATGAAGCACCAGAGAGCAGCCGAGCTGGTGTAAATAAGTATTGTCTGGTTATGTACCAAGTTTGGGCTCAAGTGATCCTCCTGCCTCATCCTTCCTGGCTGGGACTAAAGATGTGTACCCCACACCTGACCAGGAAAGTTTGAAGTGAAAATGGAAGGGTCTTTTGATATACTTCTTATCCCTAATACTTCTGCTGTTGTATCCTTCTTGTATAATTTTCCAGAAAAATAATTTCACTATATGTCAGTAAACACATACACTATAGTTTTTTAACCTTGTTTTATTTTTTATTTATTTGTATATTTTGGTGACATTTTCAGTTGACTATAGGTTGTTCTAGATGATTGTGTCTTTTTAATCTTATTCATTTAATTTCTTTCGTATGGGTGTTTTGCCTGCGTGTACATTTGTGTGCCATGTGTGTGCCCCTGGTGCCTACAGAAGCCAGAAGAGGGCACTGGTTCCACTGGCACTGGAGTTACAGGCAGTTGTGAGCCGCCATGTGGCTGCTTGGAATTGAACCCAGGTCCTCTGGCAGAGCAGTGGGTGCTCTTAACCACTGACCCACCTCTCCAGCTCAACAATCAAGAGATTCTTTAAAGAGTAGATAGTTCATTTGGGAGTTGATTAGCAGAGCAGTGGGAATCCGAATAGTTAACTCTGTGCGTGTTCAGGGGGTGGAGTCAAAGGGAAAAGTTTAAAGGCAAAATAGGAATGATATAAAGTAGTTTGAAACAGTAATCCTTGCTACAAAGATCATTAACAAGAATGTTGTCAGCCGGGCAGTGGTAGTGCATACCTTTAATCCCAGCACTTGGGAGGCAGAGGCAGGAGGATCTCCTTGAGTTCAAAGCCAGCCTGGTCTACAGAATGAGTTCCAGAACAGCCAGGGCTACACAGAGAAACCCTGTCTCAAACAAACAGACAACCCACCTCCACACACAGAAAAAAAATGATGTTGTCTATTCAAATGCTAAACAGGCAGGTGCCAGGAAGACATCCTTGAGGAAGTCTTTTTTTTTTAAAGATTTATTTGTTTGTTTGTTTATTTATTCATTCATTTATTATGTATACAGTGCTCGGTCTGAATGGCCAGAAGAGGGCACCAGATCACATTAAAGATGGTTGTGAGCCATCATGTGGTTGCTGGGATTGAACTCAGAACCTCTGGAAGAGCAGCCAGTGCCCTTAACTGCTGAGCCATCTCTCCAGCCCCAAGGTAGTCTTTTTTGTGTAAGGTGGTCGTGGCCTTTGGACAGGATGGTAGTTCTGGAAGTCTTTTGTGGTAGATCTTGTTATTGGGAGCGGGGTGGGGGGTGGGGGTGGGGGGGTGGAACCACACCAACCCATGAAATCCCTGTCTTCATGGTCTCCTGGCTTTATCTGATGTGATGTTTCCGAGGGCACCATGGACTTCATTTTCATCCTGTTTAAATAATATGTTCATGCTCCTCTACCTTGCAACTGAAACCTCATTTAACTTGTTCCCTGTTGATGGAGATTTAAATTGTTTCTAATTTTGTGAGAGTGCATGGTAGTGCATCTGCCTGGGAGGCTGAGGCTGGAGGATTGATGTAAGTTCTAGGCTAGCCATGGCTACATGGTGAGACAGTTGTACAGTGCATCTGTCTGAATTCACACTTCAACGTTTGTAGGATGCTGCCAGAGGGGTAAGTTTAACAATGAATGTGGAGGCAAAGGCATTGGAGTTCTTGTTGAGATGGGGGTCTTAAAATGCTTCACTTCTCAGCATCAAACTCCTGACCTGAAACTGTCCCTTTGCCTCTGCTTCCCAGTAGCTGGGACCATGAGTGTGTGCCACTACACCTGGCTTGCATATATCCCCCCCCCACCCCCCCCCCCCCCCCCCCCCCCCCCCCCCCCCCCCCCCCCCCCCCGCCACCCTCCAAGTCAGGGTCTTTCTGTGTAACAGCTTTGGCTGTCCTGGAACTCACTCTATAGACCTGGCTGGCCTCGAACTCACAGAGATCTGCCTGGCTCTGCCTTTCCCAAGTGCTGAGAATAAAGGTGTGTGCCACCACTGCCCAGCTCCTGGCTTGTATTTTAAGTTTTGCCAAATAAATATTGCCAAATTCCCTCTCTAAAATGATGTCTAAATTATACCCCCAAGCGCACAGGGTATCGGCACAAAGATCTGATGTTGTCAATTTGGCTGGTCTGCTTTTCGAGTTACAAGAGATGAAAGTGACTATTTAAATGTGTTTTTCAGGATCCCAGCGCTCTGGAGGCAGAGACAGGAGGGCCAAGGCAAGTTTGGGCTAGTCTGGTTTACATAGAGAGTTCCAAGCCAGCCAGGGTTACCTAGCAAGGTCCTGTCTTTAAAAAAAAAAAAAAGGTAGTTTTTCTAGACCCCATTTGTCCCTTAGTATTTTGATTGTCAGAGACAGGAGCAACAGCTGTTAGGTGTATGAGGCTGGCCGGCAAAAGGAGTGAGGACGTAGTGGGAGATGTCCTGGGTTGATTTGGGAGCAGTAGCATTCTATAGCTGTGGGGCTGGAGAGATGGCTCAGTGGTTAGAGAGATGGCCCAGTGGTTAGAGAGATGGCCCAGTGGTTAGAGAGATGGCTCAGTGGTTAGAGAGATGGCCCAGTGGTTAGAGAGATGGCCCAGTGGTTGGAGAGATGGCCCAGTGGCTGGAGAGATGGCCCAGTGGCTGGAGAGATGGCCCAGTGGTTGGAGAGATGGCTCAGTGGTTGGAGAGATGGCTCAGTGGTTAGAGAGATGGCTCAGTGGTTAGAGAGATGGCCCAGTGGTTAGAGAGATGCCTCAGTGGCTGGAGAGATGGCAGCTCAGTGGTTAATTGCAGTGGCTGTTCTTGCACAGGACCTGGGTTCAATTCCCAGCACCTACATGGTGGCTCCATGGCCACCTATAACTCCAGTTCCAGGGGATCTGACACCTTCTTAGAACTCCCACGGGACTGGGTACATGGAAAGCCGTCAGACATACATGCAGGTAAAATAGTCACACAATAAAAATAAAGCATGTTTAAAAAAAGAATTCTACAGACCCAGGACAGTGTTCTTCCTTTTAAAATAGTGTTTGCTTTAACTACTTTGGATGAGGAAACTTTTTAAAATTAGGATATAATTTTGTTGAGTTTAAAATGAACCTAAACGCCTTTAATCCCAGCACTCGGGAGGCAGAGCCAGGCGGATCTCTGTGAGTTCGAGGCCAGCCTGGGCTACCAAGTGAGTTCCAGGAGAGGCGCAAAGCTACACAGAGAAACCCTGTCTCGAAAAACCAAAAAAACAAAAAAAAAAAACAATAAAATGAACCTAAAAATACAGGAATTGGGCTTGCGA